CATACCATACCATACCATACCATACCATACCATACCATACCATACCATAACACACCACACCACACCACACCACACCACACCACACCACACCATACCACTACATTACATTCCATTACATTACATTACATTACATATAAAACATACATAACATACATAGCATACAAAACATATATAACATACATAACATACATAGCATACAAAACACACAACACATACATAACATCCAAAACATACAAAACATACAAAACAAACGAAACATACAAAACATACATACAGTACATACATACATACATAACATTACATTACATTACATTACATTACCCAGTACAGGGCTGAGGTAGTGGAACCTTATGGTAGTGGAGGGGTTTTCTGAGAATGCTGGGGAATCTGCTAGAAAAGAACCTGATCATATTGGATGCCCATCACATTCCCGGCACACCTTTTTTCGGCTCACAACACCTGCTGCATCTTGCTCGAAGGCAAGCTATCATAGTGCGTGCCTTGCCACACTATGCCCACAGGGCCCTTTGACGCAGCGCCAGGCTGCTGTGGCCCAAACCTTCCAAGCAGTGCATAGTCACCTCCATCCGGAGTGAAGATGCCAATCCTTGGATGGAAGGCGACTCACAGCCAACGGACCTTTCAGTAAACTCCCGCTCACCAGACTCACCCAACATTTAAAATGGGTTCACTCATCAACACGGAGTTCCAACGTATAGTAGCACAAAGCACGCCCAACAGGGTGTCAGGTCACAGGTAAGGTTCAGGATCGGTTCACTTACCACCACTAATAGGACCTGAATGGACCTGATGTGAATGATTTGTTAGGGTGTATTCATGCAGAGTTAAGCCTTCTCGCATTGGTGCGCGGGGTTTCCCACATTCATGTACACAGTAGGTATCGTTATACAAGGCTTTTGCTCGCATGTCAACATCCCAGGACATAATGGATGTAAATTGCGGTCTCATTCATTCTGAATCTCGTGTCGCTTTCCAAGGATGAAATGCCCTTGGCATCACTGCATGACGTGCCAAAATAGCCCAAAACCTTTTTCGTTTCACCGTTTCACCTCGTCCCTCCTTCCGCCCGGACCAAAACGGTGCTTTTCGCGTGGTTGCGTGTGGGTCGACGGCTCGGTCGCCTGAACGCTGTGAGGTCGCCTGAACGCTGTGAGGCACAATGCCGCCGGAGCGGACCCAAAGGTGCAAAGCCGCGGAAGTGGACCCAAGGCAGAATGCCGCCGGAGCGGACCCAAAGGCACAAAGCCGCTGGAGCGGACCCAAAGGTGCAAAGCCGCCGGAGCGGACCCAAAGGCAAAAAGCCGCTGGAGCGGACCCAAAGGTGCAAAGCCGCCGGAGCGGACCCAAAGGCACAATGCCGCCGGAGCGGGCCCAAAGGCACTTAAACCGCCGGAGCGGACCCAAAGGCGCAAAGCCGCTGGAGCGGACCCAAAGGCGCAAAGCCGCCGGAGCGGACCCAAAGGCACAATGCTGCAGGAGCGGAACCACTTTTAGCTGGGAATTGGGTAATCCGTGCCGTGCTCCCCTAGAAAAATGATGAAATGGCAGTGAGGCCTTCAACTGCAACAAAATGGATGATTGGGTCAGCCGACAAATTTATAGCGGCCATGAGTCTCCGGCAGGCCCAAGACGCACATCTTCAGCGTCGTCGCCGTAGATGAAGCTCAGTGGCTTCCGCAACCACTCACAGATGTCGCAAAATGGCGCTGCTTTGAAAGCAATGCCATTCTGCTTCAAGAAGTGCTCCAAGCTGCCCACGCCGCCGCACAGCAATGCCAGCTTCAATGGCTGACTCAACGCAGGAGGCTCGCCGAATGCCCCGCACCAATCATTGGCTGGAAAACCGAGTGGGTCCATCAGTGAACAGGGACCAAGTGTTGTTGTCTTCTTCGCATTAGATGTTCGAAGTATGCTGGTGTGTATTTACGTGGTGCAGAGTTCCAAAAGTGGGAGCAAGTGTTGTTGTCTTCTTCGCATGCTGGTTGGTTGAAGTCTGCACATGCTGGTGTGTGCTTACTTGGTGCGGAGTTCTAAAAGTGCTCTTCTCACATGTTTTCCTCTGTGTGCGACTCAGATCACCTTTGGTGAACTTGAGGCTGGGGTGCATTCAGTTGGCCATCTTCAGCACAGCGAGGCGTGCTGACAGTCCGTAGCGAGGTCTCGCCCTCCAACGCGGGCGCATCGAGGTGTCGAGGGTGGGGATGTCAAAGGGGCAGATCTTTTTGAATCAAACACCTACAAATCTCTTCCTCTGAAACGGCCCGCAAAAAGATTCGGCTCCGACAGTATCTGTGAACCAGCCAGATAGACTGATAGAACGCTATGGTGTACATGAGGAATAGACATGGCATAATATGAAAGAACATCTGACACTATTTGCACCTTTCCATACAACCCTTTCAACTACAACAAGGTTCAACTACTAAAACCTGATGATGAATTACATTACATTACATTACGTTACGTTACGTTACGTTACGTTACATTACATACATACATATGACATTACATTACATTACGTTACATTACATTACAAAACATACATAGCATAACATAACATAACATACACATACACATACACATACGCATACCATACATACAGAGCATCCATACATCCATCCATCCATCCATACATAAATACATACAAACATATATATATATAGCACATAAGACTCGTCTTTGACCTTTAAAAAAAAAAACAGCTGTACATTTGACGTCCTCCGTGTTGTTTTTGCGACGTCTAACCGGTAGAAACTCCGTTCGGCGCATGCCGCCTTAGCTTTCTGAAAGTCGAAGTGCATGCCACTTTCCTAGGCATCACTCTGGGTGTGGCCGTGGCCAGGGAATTCCGCAAGAAACCATCTACTTACAAAAGTATAAATACCAAGCTTAGGCGATAACCATGCACGGTAGCTCATCCCAACTCTCAAAATGTGCTTGAAAAGTAGTCGGCACCAGGTGCAATACATGACCTCCCCCCAAATGGGTGCCCTTTTGGATCCACCTAAGAAACCCACAGGTGACTGGTCGTGGTACAAGGTCACGACACCCCAGCGTGGCGCAGTTTTTAGGGGATGGAGCTAAGGCGTGGACCGGCTTCTCTCCTGCCCCCAAGCACTACACTCTGACGAACACATCACATGGAAGTGGATGGCATGGTCCCTTGGCAGACGACTTTCCTTTGGAAACAGGAGGTTTTCCACTTCCATGTGATGTGTTCGGAGTGTAATTTAAATCCAGAGATCGAAAATCATCAGCGCCACTCCGGCATGCCCAATGAGGGTGAACATGTCTGGAGTCAACTGGCATTCGTGAGAGATCTCAGCATGGCAACCTGCCGTTGGCAAAGTCATCGCTGCTTGTGGTGCTTGGGAACATGGATCAAGAGTTTGCACAGGATATACATGCACACATCGAATCAGCTGATCATGGGGGGCAAACTAATCTGATATAGATGGGGGAGCCACCGTAGGAATCCTCTTCCAGAAGGTTAGGGGTCCCTTGGAATCATCTGTTGAGCCATCGAATCAGCTGATCAGTCCCACACCACCTGATCAGTACCTTAAGCCAAGTCTGACGGCATCCTTCTTCGTCGAAGAAGGCTTGGGAGAACCGAAGCTCGGTCCAACTGGATAGATTCCCCAGAGACTCTTCGCACAGGAAGCTGCACTGGTGTCTCCCCCAAACGAAAACATCTGGTGAAATCCGGTCAGCTCTTTTCAGTTTGGTGGAAGAGCTACTGCTTAAACAAAAAAACTGGTATAGAGATGTATAGAACATCCCGTTCATCCTGGACGTTGCATGTCCTACAATCTCTCTCTTCGCTCCAGATGGGTGGCCAGTGCGACAGACCGAAGGACCCGATGGACGCCGACTTCGACGTGGTGTTCACCATCTCAGCGACGACGGGGTAGAGTTGTCTTTTCAGTGACAATATAGGTCACTTAGTCCCTGAAGAGGTCACTTACAGACTCCAAAGAGGTCACTTTGAAGGTCCTTATATATTATATATTGCCAACAGGTTTTTGTGTGCTTTTGAAGTGTGATTGCTGTTGATGCTTCTGTGTTCCTCGATAAAGAAACAATTGTGACCACCAACATCAGTTGATTGATTGGCATTGGTCAACCTGTCACCTACAAGTAAGACGGTCACCGCAAGGTCTACGGTCACCATCAAAGATGCTTCGGCAACGATCCTATCGGCTCATGATCTGACTTCCAAGCCGTTTCCCGGGACCAAAAGGTTGCAGCATAAAAGGCTTTTCAGGTGATCCACGGACTTCCTGGGTAGGTCTCTTCGACTTTTTAGTTGGGCCGCTGAGTACCTGAGTTGTGGGCGGCACCTGCATGGATGCTTTTGGCTTGATGTATCTTTGCCTTGGATTCTAGCTGGGTAATTGTTATTTCTATGGTTTTCTTGTGCTTCTTTTCAGCTCGTTGCGTACTGAGCCTGCTACTCTATCCATCTGGGACGATTGTGGTCAATTGAAACCTGCTTTTCTATTTGTTGTCTTGGGTTCGGTTCTCCACTGGTCATCGAGGAAAGAACACAGTCTTGTCAACTGGTCAGCACAGTCTTAGTACGACGACGACCTGTGTTGAGGACATGACCTGTCCCGCTGAATGGTCTTGCATCCACCGCGTCTGGTATCCAAAAGCAACAATAAAATGTCTAGAGAATTTGTCTGCCTCAATCTTAGAGACGTCTACATGACGCTGGCTTCCCATGTGCTCATGTGAATGTCTATAGCCATTAATCTTTGAAAGCGCTGCTACGGCCCCCTCATACCTGCTCAGCAATATTCTTGGATCGGCCAAGGAAGCACATCTCAAATATAGTGTTTCTGTGTTCTCCATGGTGGAAGTCAAATCCTGAACACAATTTTTCTCTATGTAGCTAAATTCTAGAACCCAATTGAACTCGGTGTTGAAAGGAAATTAACATATTCTGATGTATACAATGTTTGATATATTTGGGGTTTCAACATAGAGGTCGCTCAGGCTCTAGGAATACAAACATAGACTCAATCACAAGCCAAGGAACTCTTCTCAAGACACTCCTCGTAGCTTGTGTAGACGCCACCACCGGCCAAGCGCCGGTGTGCGGTATCCGCGTGCGTATCATTGGAATGCTCGTAGTCCTCGATGTGGCAAAGGTCCTTTTCCTGGCAAACAAAATACACAACTATAGTCCAACAACTCTACCCCAAACACACACGTGCCATATTTGCCGATCAGTTGGGCTGGTGCCAGGGGGGGTCTTATAGTAAGCACATTCGATCCATACCTGGAGTGTCCGCGCACCGATTTTTGTGTTTTTTCCTCTTCGATCCTGGTAACCACTGGCTGAAAACCAAGGTTTCGACCGGTTCGACCGTGGCCAGTGGGTCCACCAGGATAGGAGGTTAAACCTGTCGGGGGACTCCCAGCCGTTTCCTCTACAAATTGCCGGAGACTTCTTCCACTTCCATTGGGGGGAGAGCGAAAAAAAGGGCTTGAAATGGTGGTTTCAGACCTGTCAGCTGACAAGACGACTCCACCCGGAGTTCTTTGTCGGACAGGATCGTCGTCGGATTGTGTTCGACCGCTGCTGTGGAAGGATGGATTGCTACAAGCCGGCAGTGCCAAGGCACCATGGCTTGTACCACAAGCCGAACGTACACCATAGGATTTTGCATGATTTAGCTGACCTCACCCTACAGTGGAAGCCAGTAATTATACAAACAGATACAAACTAATTAAAGCCAACCTGCCCAGCGCTGGTGTGTTGGCTCATCCATGTTCATTCCTACAAATCAAACAATCAAACCACCTCAAGAGCCGACATGCCTTTACATCATCACAAACCCGTGTGGGAGATGTGTCATTCAACCTGGAGCCCGACTCCACCATGTAGCTTGACCTTCCAGGTAGGGAACAACCCAAGGTTGGTCTGGTGACCCCACAGCCATGTGGGTGTGCAGTAGGACCCCTCGGTGTGCTAGACCGGTCGCGGAAATCGACCACGGGGGGTGCGGTCTGCCTTGCGGAGGTCCGGTCGACTCCCTCTGAGGTGGTGATTGGAGATGATGTGTGAAAACCACTTTTACATAGGCATGGAGCGCGAAGGACTTTGCACCGAACCTGAGAAGGTATGTGTACATCCCATACACTCCATGGGACTGGAATATATGCCTACAGACCCCCCAAACTTAACCCCCCCAATGTAGGCATATATTCCATACATGGAGTGTATGGGTATTATTGGTGAAAACCACCCGACTGTTTGGTTTTCTTCTACCAACCAGTGGTTTCCGGATGCTTCGGGGTCCAATTACTCTTCCAGGAGTAACCATGATTCATTCAGCGGAGCATATCTTTGACTGCATTGGCTGAGTGAAGTTGACCCCATCCTGACCGCAGCTTAGCTGGAGCCATGCGCTGGACTAGGCGCTGGACTTCAGCACGCGTTTCACGGCTTCGCGTGCCGTCCACGTGTCGGACGTACCAACAAAGGCCGGCCTGGATCTTCTTCAGGTGCTCGGTGAGATGGTTCACCTCAGCGGATGGGCACGGCGAAACGTCCACCTCTCCGTGAACACTTCGGTGCAGCGGCGCAGGGCGATCGATCTGATAAAGAGGGTGGAGAAAATGCCTCGAGCCTGGTGGAGGGGCGCATCACTGTTGGGGGGGGCCATCTGCATGCGGTCGGATCCCACCGGTAAGCTCCGATGCGAGAGGGAGACACGACCTGGAGGACGGGAGCCGGGCCTTCAGTCGTACCTTTGGAGAGGGTATGTGGATCCCTATAGCTGTCCATCAGCTGGAGAAAGAGTGGCCATTTCTTCGAGCCAACACATGCCAAAGGCATATTCAAACAAGACTTGTACCACAAAATGGGATTGAGACGACAAATTAAAATACATGAGAATACATGAGAATACTACCAGCACCAAAGCATGGTATTTGTTGGTATATAGAATGATATAGAGGCGAAGCTGAACCCTAGATTCCATGGCTCTCACAACCGGAAACGCGTCGAGACGCCCTTTTTTCATTGCTAATGGTATCCAAAAGGTTGCCACGCTTCACAACCCAACAAAAGGCCGACTTCTTGTTCCAAGAACACCCACAACACCCCCACTCCAGCTTCCACAACCACCAGGTCGCATCGCTGCACTCGCACTCCGAAACGTGACGTGCATGTGAGCACAAGGAGTACTCGGTGCTGATGAGGCCACCGATTTCAGGTCCTACCAGGGTCGACGAGGTCGGCGAGTGGCGATTTAAACGACCGGGCGGAACGGCACACGCGAGCGAGGAATGCGACGAGCGGCGAGTGGTAGACATGGTTTTGGCCTCAAACACTTAGGATGTGCCAAACCAGCTTCAACCAGGGAAATAGGACATACTGCAACAGCTTGGAGCTACATCTACAGCTACACTCAAACCCTACGATAGTTGGGAAACAAGCAAACCGTTCATGAACCCAATGATTTTTTGAAGACTTTGGAACCAGCTACATCTCCAGCTACACTAGCTACAAGCCGGCTTCTTAAGGCTTGAAGCTTCTCTCCTTAGCGCCGGTTCGCCCGCTTCGCCCGGTTCGGTCCTAGAAGGACGCCCGTGGCAATGACCAGCACGATGTCCGAGACCCCGATGGCCTCGTCGGCGTCGCGCCGGAGCGAACGTGGTTCGGTCTCTTCAAGCGTCATCAGATGAAATGAAGAAGGACTTCAGTATGGAATTAGAATATGGAAACCAGGAAACCAACATGTTCCGACAAAGGAGTTATATATATATATTATATTGTATCACTTTCTGAGTTAGACTATAGGAATTAAGAAGGGTTAGAGCCAGGTTCTGAGACTAATCACATTCTGAAACTGGGGTTCTGAAACTGGAACATCAGATTCTGAAACTGGAGTTCTGAAATTGGGGTTCCGAAACTGGAAAGTCAGGAATCAAAATAGTTGTCGAATCTAGTTGTGCCAAAAACACTATAACGTTGTCAAACGTTGTGTATTTTGGTTCTTCCCTTGTTGGGGACACCAAATACGCCTGTTTTTGTTACATTATTGGACAACTTTCATGTGGTACTAAGGCCCGTATTTCATCCATAGACGGAATTGACACGCTTTGGTCTTAAATTAAAGACCTCATCAGTACTGATTCGGTACGATTCTTCGACAATTTCTTTCAGATGAGCTTCTGAGTGTCCGCTTCATACTCTCCATTTAAAAAATGCAACATATTGCAACATGGAATTAGTTCACGTCAGTTCTGAGTATATAAGTCGACCAAAATAGTTCAAGAGGTGGAGTTAGGTTAAAACCAGCCCAACCTTTCTGGTAATGGTCAAGCTACATGAACTAAAGGCTAGGGATACTATACCAAAACATACCAAAACCCCTGGGACCCCCCTTAGACTCCACACTGCCGCCCATGACTCAGGCTGACTCACTGGAAGGCCTCACCCACATGGCCCATCCTCGTTGGACTTTCGAATCAAACCATGGCTGCTGAGTGCCATGGCAATTCCATGAATCAAGCTGTTGTAGCTGAACTCGACCAAACACTCCATATATACACCCAGTTAGCTGGTTTACCAATTGCATCCAAATATCAACTTCTGCATGGCCTATCATGGACTTGGAATTGTGAAACCAAACAAACTGATCCACTCTCTTCCCCACTATAAGGTGGATTCACCTGCATCTATGCCCAACTTGGCGGGGCAACCCCCAGGTTGTCCACCTCCCAAAAGAAATCCACCTGAATCCACCAAACCACCAAACCCTCTAGAGATATATAATGAGGAACCAGGGGCCCTCGTTCAGTCTATGGTTTTAGTCCACCAAAGCCACCCAACCCCACACCCCGAGCCAAACACCTCGGACGTGGACTCCGACCTGGGAGATCTTGGTGGCGATCCAAGAAGCCGAGAGGAAGCCCGTGATGGCCTCACCGTATACCGTGGCGTGAGAACGTGTGAGAACGTGTGAACGAAGGCGATGAAGACAGCGTGGAGGTATACTGCGCCCTTCATGAATGAAAAGAGGTATACCGGGGGTGTTTCTGTGTATATGACCCAAAGACATGACAAGCGGGATTGCACGCTGTCAATTCAACCAGAGAGAGATAGAGAGAGAGAGAGACACGCCACCCAACTACCAAAACCGAAACATAAAAGGAACCGACCCCAAAAAAACACCAAAACACCACCCAACTACCAAGACCAAAGCACAAAAGGCATGGAATCAACGTCTATCTGAACTGAACTGCCTCCACATTGATTAGGAATTGGAGTTCAGGCATTTCATGTTCATTGAACGGACATAAAAGCAATCAACAACAAGTGTTTGTGGGCAGTGGACAGCTGAGATGCTTATTTGGGAGACTCCGTGACACCAAAATTCGGTGGTGCTGTTGTTCTTAACGTAGATGACCTCGTTTTTTTCTTTCCAAGTCTAAGTGACTTCTGTTGAAGCTTTGCATATCAACTACATAATGAAGTGGTCAATGACACTCTCTGGCCACAGAAAAATGAAGAAACATGTCCAAAGAGTAGCACTAATTCCATACTAATCCACAAACCAGAATCAACATAATCCACAAAACATACTAATCCACGAATTTCATACTATAATAGAAACTCTAGCATCACGACAGCAGGTGCTGACGTTTTCGCCAACGCCCTTGGGTTTGACACATCCAACGGGGCAAAGTCGACCCGAGCCTGGCCTGGACCATCTGACCAGGTTGTTACAAGTGAATGAAACGCCCAAACAGACACCCCCCTCCTGAAGACATAAACCCAGAAGACACGTTTGAAAAAGGGCTGTCTTGAGGAACATCCGAAGTTCCTTCCACCTCCTTCCACCAGTTGGCCCGGGTTGGCCCGGGTTGGACCTTCGTATCCAGTTGGACCTTCGTACCAAGCGACCATCATCGCTATAAATGAGGAGGCTCCCCCCATGGCGCCGACGTTTTCACGGGCCACACGCCGTGAGACGCGGCTGAACCGGCTGAGCCCCAAATGGCTCGAGGAAGGCGCCGGTGGGGTCGGCGACGGCGCCCGCCCGAGGAAGGTGTGAAAGAAAGACCTGGAGTCTCAGGTCGCGCTAAGAATATGGACACAAGTACACTATATTACATGATTATAGTTGTTTGTTCCTTTTTCTAGAGTATTATAGTGAGTGTTATGAACTGGAGAGTCCAGCCACTTCAACGTTTCTGCCAAGGCTTTGGATGCGTTCCAGCCGCAGAGCCTCTGAATATCTCTGAGTGCTTGATCAGACATGTATACATCTTACCAGTGCGGGAAAGACTCATTGATAGTATCGCTGGGACACATCAAGCCGACAAGAATAGACGGCTCAAGTTCCCGAAGCCTGCGCTGGTGAGCACGAAGAGAAACCATGACTGCGCTGATGTTTGCTGTTCATCGCATGTTCAACGCAACTGGCACTTGGATGACCCTCGCAATGAAACAAAAACGGCCGACCGTTGTGTCAGAAAAGGAGACATCTGGCGCCTTTTTGTTGCATCAACTACTGTACACACCGTGGCACTTCTGTGAAAGACCTTTAGCACTTAAGGAAATAAACCCAACAACTGTACAAAGAAACATTACAAATTGGGAACTATTAAGTATAATTTAAGTATATATACTGCAAAATCCTGCAAATATACAGGCTTGCTTTACAGTACTACTTGGATTTACTGTCCAGAAAAAACAAAACAAAACACAGTGACAAAAACCACTTTGGCCTGGGCGGTTCGAGAACATATACACATCAATGACCTCACCCGGTGGCACCGTAGACCCTTCCGGTGGCGCCCGAACCTCGTCGTCGATCTTCGGAGGTTTGCTCCCCCTGGGCAGGCGTGGATCCGGGAGGCCGGTTTTGGATGGCAAGGTACAGGACCCAAGGTATCATCAATATTCATCAATGCTTAAACTATATATATTATATAAGATATATATATATATCTACATCATTATACATGTCACAAATTCGAACTCAAAGTGAGCAAATGGTTGGGATTTCAAAATTTAAACACAACTCCTTTCCAACGAGTCCGCCCAACTCCACCGGCATGCGAATGTTCGGCCCAACCCGAGCCGGTGTGGAACACCCAGGTCCAGGTCCCGCGCCTGTCCCGCCGCTGTCACGGTGACCTCCGCCGGAAACGGGGCCAGGCCAGGCGCCGCGCGGACAGCGCTCCGGTTTTCTCCCCTGGCGGGTCCGGGTAGGGAGCGAAGCCATGCGTGGCACTGAGTGAAGATTTCGCAGCTAGTGAATCAGTCCCAATGTGACAATCACCTTCAAATGTTAGATGTCGATCCATAAATTGGTTGATCTCAATCCATCTATGACGACATTCAATCGATTCATCGACCAATTGTGCCAGCTAGGGCATAGAAACGCCAGCCCACTAGGGCATAGAAACACTTTGGGTTGGAACAATAGGAAACTTGCAAAAAGGTGCATCCTTCGAGGCATGGGTGGCGGTAAGCTTCCTTCGATGGATTGGTTGTGAGGCTCGCCATGGTTGGCAGGCGCTCGCCATAAGCAAGAGCCCCCCAAAGACGGACCTGGACCATCCAAACGTACCTTTGAAAATGGGACATGACCCCATAAAAAGCAGGTTATAACTTGTCACTACCTATTTTCATACAAAGTAGCTGACACTCCAGGTATACGTCCAGACCACCGCAGGGTCCACCGGGAAACCGACCTTCGACCTGAAGCGGAACCGTCACGTCACGTCTCGATGATTGTTTCGGTACGACGACCTGAAGGGTCCAGGGAGGGACATCATGTCTTTGTTCGTGGCGGACGGAACGAGTTAACGAGATGTTCACATCAGAAGCTATGTCGAGTCCATGTGAGTCGTTCGGAGCGTCTCGAAGACGCTTTGGATAAACATATATGCAGAGATATAGACTATAGACTCTAGAATATGGATAGGTCCAGAGGTGCATATAGGATCATACCTGGAGATATTTGTCGGTGCCACATTTGTATGAGTGCCCAGTGCCCAACGCGCTTTCAAGAGGTGCCCTGTCTGGAGACCGTGTATGTCCATGTCCGGTGACCCCATCTCCACCTCGCTGCTTGATCTTCGCTTCCTCACCGTCCATCCGGGTCTCGGTCAACCAACGAACACCCAGAGCACCGGTCCCGGTGATCCCATCACGGTATACCGGGTGTTGGTCTCACGAGTACAGAGGCATCTTGGGCGTTGCTGCATTCAGTTCGGCGGTGCGCCGTTGGCTGTGAACGACCATGTTTCAGCAGGATCGCATCTGAGGCCATTGTATCTTATGGCCTTTAAATTGTCATTCGTGATGTTTTTTTTTTTTTTATGTTAAAGGCCATATAACAAAAGCCTGGTCTTGAAAGAGGTGAATGCATATTGAAAAGACGAGTGTTATCCAAACCAGGCGTTAACAGTCCTTAGGTGCATTGACGGAGACTTTGACCAAACCAAACTTCAGATTGCAATGTCATTTCGTGAACTGAGGGTTTCAAGCGGTCTAGCATAGCATCAAGTTCTTGCGTAAACACTCGGTAACCCCGCCGTGGACCACCCTCACTGAAATTGGGACTTGATGAACTTGTCAACACAAACTGAGCCAACATGGGGGAATTGGGAGAGACAAAACAACAGACTGGTTTGCCCTCTTGAATCTCTTCCACACCAAAGGAGTTTTGGCCATGTTCGTAACAGCTGCTTCCAAGGGTTCGACTCAAAAAGGGACAGGGCGAGCTTCCGCTAGTGCGAGTGAGTGTGTTGCGGACACTCCCAAGGACAACACATGGGAAAAAAGACACACAAAGTCCTTCAAATATGTCTGTTCTTCTGATCATGAAACGCCTTCACCGAATCAAAATCAACCAGTTCAAGAACCGATGCAGGATTGGATTGTACCCAACGAAACAACCGGACCGGGTGGGTGTGAACTTTGATAACTACATATATAGGGAAGCAGCCCTGGCCCTGGTTGGGTAGACTGGTCTATATTCCGACCCTTCCAGGGGGTCGAACACAGGTTGCGGAAAAAACGTGTCTCCAGCCAATTCGGGACCTCCAACAGTTGAAGTACCTGGCCAGGCGAATGCGTGCCAAATTGGCGGTTGTGTGACAACAGCGAATCATTTGCAGAGACACCCCCTCAATATATATATATATATATATTATATATAATGACAATCATGTTTGCAAACTAAACTACAATGTAGGGGCGCAGTTGTCTGAGTTTAGGAACATTGTATGAATACGATCTGTTGTCATATAGGTGGTCTTCCCGCAAAAGAAAAAAGCAGAGAAAACTCCGGGCAATTGTCTGCTCAATCACATGCTTTCTTCACATCCAGGGAACTTGTTTGCAGGGAACCGTCGTGATCAAGGTTGCGCAGGTTCCCTCAGCCAAATTCAGAACTGAAATGGTCCACTCCCATTGAGCCTCTCCAGGTGGATTAATGGCCTCGGTTAATATGCAAGTCTGACATCAGTACCCAGGGCCCTTTTGGGAGCCTGTTCTGATTGTGGCTCTCAGAACCACTCCAAACCACCATCTCCAAGAACCAAATAATACAGGCCGGCAGCCGGCGGCCTCCGTCTGCTCCGGTGCTTTTGAGCAGGGAGAGCGTAGCTCCTTTCCCAAAAGGGATCCTCTCAGCCACCTTTTGGGTCGCTGGCTTGTACACTGGCACAGGAGGCCTTGGTTTTGCCTTCACCTTGACCCCGCCATCCTTCGGCAATGGTGGCTGTGGACCTTTTGGAGATGCTGCTGCCTTTGCTGGAGCTGGAGCTGTAGGCTTTCAAAGGGCAAGATCGGTGCACATCTTGTCTTGTGCACACTTGGCAGACTTTTCCTTCAGTCGTTTCCAGGCTTGAAAGCGCCACTATGCCTGGGTCCTACACTGGATCTTCTTGTCTATGAGATCCTCCAGCTTGTCCACCTCTGCCTTTGACACCTCTCTCCCAGAGCTTTGCATGTAATGCAAATGCTTCAGCCTCCGCACCAAGGGTCAAAGCTCGCCAACATGGCATCCGCCGCCTCCATGGCGGCCATATTGCCCATGTCGCCCATGTCTGCCGGCTCATTCTCTGGAAGAACCGGGCCCAAAGAAGCGGGCTCACGCAGTCGGCAGCCGGAGGCTCTGTTGGAGCTGCATTTGCAGCAGGCTCTGTTGGAGCCGCAGGCTGTTCCAGTGTCGGACTGGTGTCCTCCATCGTATTTGCAATGCAGGCGTGCGACCGGATCGTTTCTGTAATCAAAAATGAAAAACTGTGAAACTTTGGACCATGCCATTGCATATGCATGTTGCATGGATGAGTTCACTCTCTTCATGGACCCAAGTCCAACGATTCAGGGCTGGATCGCATTCCCCGAATCCGGCCGGCTCCCCAGCATGGATGTATAGCCACTCCTTCAATTCAAAATGGCCCAAGATGGCACCAAAACGCGAGTTATGCTGCCCAAGTCGCCTTGCATAATTGGCATTTTCTGTTTCTGCTTGTCTCTGGTCACGACAAACAACCACAACAGCAACAACATCTAACAACAACCACCACGAAACGATAAACCACAGCAACCACCACACTCACAGCACCAACCAAAACAACTATCACCACAACACCTAACAAGCACCACTGCCACACCCACTCTCGCCTATTTGCATCTCTCTCCTATTTGTCCTACTCGAAAAAGACCGCCTACAAACGCCTATCCCTACTAGTACCCTATTGATAGACGTCCCTTCCAAGCGGCAGCGAGTTCACATGTCCCAGCCCCCTGCTGGCTGCATGGCTGGGCGGCCACCGCCGGTGCCGGTGCTATTGTGTGTCGCGCGGACGTCCTAGCGCGTCCCGCGCACTTCTGAATTTGGGCTTTGGCAGATCCTTCGCGCCTTGGTCAAGGGGCCAACAAACATGATGAGACACAAACAACCAGGACGTTTTGATGATGATGCTGGGAAGTTGTTATCATATGCACCAAAGATAAAGTCTATTGGATTACACTTATAGAATTGAGAGTATTTGTTTTTACTTGGTCCGTGAACTGACAGGAAAACCCACTGGTCTGCCACGCCAATGCTTTTTATTCATCCCTGATAAGGTTGATCTGTAGTATCTATGGACGTCTCAGCCGTTCTTATTCAGTGATCATGCTGCTGGATCTGTTCTCGTACCGCGGTTGCCATCCTATGGCCAGCTTTTGGGGCGCATCAACACAACCTCTACCTGCTGCACATGCCTCTTTAAATTACTGTAAGTGTTCTGCTCAACCTACCCCCAACTTCCAAACAATGTATATAATATTATATATCTATTCCAGGTTTCTAATTCTCTTACATTATCCAGGCATCTGCTGGCTGTATCATGATGTACCCTATGTTGGGAGCCACACGAATCCACTGGCGCCGATCTTCAATGATCTGGAGCTGCCCTTGAGGCGATGGCCAAATCCAAGGGAGTGCATCCTGGCGATGGCAACACTCTTGGGTTGCATGCGTTTCGATGGCAGCCTGGTACACGGTCGAATCCTAATTAGTCAAGTGGGAGGGAATAATAAACAGTTTCGCACAAACATTCCCACACCCTGAATAGTTTCTCGAACATTATGTCTTTCTGGTCGAATTTTTGGGGCTCTGATGGCGGCCTGGGGAGCCCAGCTGGGAGACTAGTTAAGTCAAGTCACTGCTACCCAATTCCGGTTCGGACACACCTCAAGCCCCGAGGTTGAAGTTCATATAAAGGCTCAAGAAATCAAAACATTTCAAAACTTGCAAGTCCAAAGTCATAATTAAATACAAAGGGTCGCAAGTATCAAGGAATCAAGGCTAACACTGAGGTTGAAAAGGTCAGTCTGACGGTATCTATCGGGCCAGGTTTGCATTGTCGACTATATTTTGCACATGTCACATATCTACAAACCTAAGGAAAGCTGGTTCTAAACCTTTGAACAAATATCATGCATCAAACCACAAAGTTTTGAACAACAACATTGCGGCAAGAGCCAGTGCGTCGAGCTAATAAGGCAGTATGCCATGAGTGTGGTGGTTTCATTGAATGCCGTCCCACCATCATGCCGCACTTGCTGCAAACCATGTTGGTACCCACAGAACTGTCAACGTGATCTGGCCCGAGACTTCCGTGGTGTTTGCATCTACGGACTGTCATCTGCTTTGGGATACTTGGATTGGCTTAAGGACCCAGCTCAACATGAAAACATAGATCCCTCACAAGGGGATTCTCCCATAGGGAAAGGTGAACAATGGTTTCTCATATATATATTTCTCATATGTCTCGTTCTCGGATCCTTCCCTTCTGTTGTACAATTTTACTCTGGGGTTTTCTAGTGTGTGGACCGTGCTTTGAACCCAGGCAAGATGAAGCTGCCTGAAGCTTGACGGCTAGGGCAAAGTTCTGTAAGCAGTCAAGCTCTAAGATCTGTAGCCAAACGTTCAAAAATGGTGAACAACCATGAACAACTTTCTTATTGTAGCAATTAATTGCAATATAGCATCCCTCTGGACCCATCACCTGGGGCATATACCTATGGGGATAGTCTATATAAGATTATATAAGTCATTATAAGTCTAATTATAGGGTTCTTCAACCTCTGTTGGAACCCCACATCGTTTTCAACGACACACTCATGATAAAGAGGGTGGGGCTAAGGCAAACTGCCCAAACACACCACTCTACCTCGAGCGAACAATGACTATCTCCCCCATCTCATCTGCAATGAGATCAACCCGGGGAGAGGCCCTGTGATGCCTGGTGTCAACAGCACACATCCACAAGATGGTCATCAAAACGACGCTTCCAGGCCTCATGTGAGCTACAGCCAAAACCTGAGAGAAAATCCCTGATACTGAATGGTTGCACCACTGAACCGTCAATGTGGGGTTTGTTGCAACTCATGTGTGTTTTCTGTTGGAACACGGATTAGCCGTTGACCACCTCGGCGATGAGTCATGTGTTTCCACCTCCCTCCGCTCTTCTCCGCGTGGGATGTCTCCAGTGGACTCTCCGCAGGACTCTCCGCCTGCCAAAGGGCCCTGGAGCAGTTGGACTTCCAAGCTGCACTGGGCGGCCAGCAAGACTCGAAGCACCTGGTTGGTCTCGGCCGTGGCGGCATAGACCCGGGTCTTCCCAGCCCTCTTGGCTCGAGAAACGGAAGAGACACAGACCCAGACACGACTAATGGGACTGCCATATATGCCGATCAGTTGGGGTGGTGCCAGGGGGGTCAATGTAGGCATATATGGCAGTCCCATGGAGTGTATTGTATGGGATATTTAGGGTGGGTCCACTGGTTGGACAAACGGAAATCCGACCAACATAAAATGGGCAGAATATGCGCGCATACCTCCTTATATCCAGAAAGAATCATGCAAGCGGAACGTAAATCAGCCCCTGGAAGACCAGCCATTCCTTTACAAGTTGGTACTGGTCAGCTTGCATGATTGTTGGAGGGAGGGTGTACACCAAAACAAATGTATTCTGATTCGCCGGCATTTGAGCAGCCTTACATCTACTTCATCTTAGATTAAAAAACGTTCCTACCATGTGCCTTTTCTCATTCACCAACATTTCACCCCGCAGGGCTTGGCCTACAAGAGCACGCAAGTCTCATAGTGTATTTTCGGAAGTGCATCAACTCTTTAACGACTGAACCATCTTCCCCCATGCATACTCACCCACTGCTATCTGATAGCTGCGGTGTCCCTCAGCCTAGCCTGCACATGTGAGAGCTGCACCGCGTAGTGTAAAGGTGTGGTGGCATTCCTCGGCGAAATCTTCCGCATGAGGTTCAACCAGAAAGAATGTGTGTGTGTTGTGTGTGTGTGTGCCACACCCTGTTTCTAAGGGTTTTCCATGTTCTCACCTTTTTCCACTGAAGCAGGGGGCACGGAGACTGATTTCCCATCCGTGCCAACGAAGCTACGGAAATCAGTTGGAAGAGAGCTGGGACGCCGGCTCTTGTACCTGCAACAAGAACTGTTTCCAAGCTGTGACACCACTTTCCACGTTTTGATTCGTTGTCCTTCATGCTACTTCCCCCAAACAACAGGTTCCCACCGCACGTTTCAGCCGCGTGAGAGTTACCGTCAGCCGTGCGAGTGAAACTTTTGTTCAACAATTCAAGTGATCTGACTCTTCCACCTTACGGTTCCATCGCCATTCTTCCCAACGTGGCAATTGAGTCTAACTGAAAACCAAGTTCGAAGTGTGTTGTGTCTTTTGCAATCATAACTCTTGACGAACGTAGCTTCTGCACAGTAAGGGACTTACACTTCTCACTATATACCCGTTTCTTTGGCTCAAGGAGGGTGCCTTTACTTTGTGGGTGATGTAAGCTGTAAGTTTTTAGCCCGCGTAAATACAGTAACATGTGCAAACACTTGCCTAATGAATGGTTTCCTAATTTCAATCGGCTGAGATCAATAATATATTGTGTATACAGTACATATACTGTCGCAGGTTGGATATGCTCTTTTCTGAAGAGAAATAAATTGTTTATCATTCTTTGTTGTCTACTACAAACCAACTCAGTCCTCGGGAATCGCTTTCTTTCCCCCCACATCGCCAAAGAACTCTCATGGCCTCGGGTCCCACTAAACTAGATTAAATGCAGTGAAACGTGGCAGAAAGAGCACAAATCGATGTGCATCCAATATAAACCAGGAGAAAGACGTGAAGTAGCCAATGAACCAGAGTGAACCAGATTGACTTGGTGGTGGTGGACCCAACGATGGAAGGGATTGGTCTCCTAACTCGGGGAGGTCGCACAGGCTCTTGCAGTGCATAGCTGTGGGGTGTAACTACATGAGGAGACCCCAAATAGACCCTGTGGGTAAACAGGTCTATTGTCCTTCAAAAAAGGGGGGTCAAACTGGAGGGTTTCCCTATTCCATGCATGAGAATTTACTTACAATTACTTACACAACACCCATGAATGATCAGCGGGGGACAAGACTTTCTGGAACATCTTCAGTAGGTGCTCTGGCAAATAGAGCCCAAACTATCAGGTACCAACATGTACCAACGACGTTCAGATTTCCCTTTTAGATCGCCATTGGTATTTCAAGCAGGGCTGGATGACGGGCCCAGAAACACAGCCGGCACTGCATTGAACTGAGCCTCTTCTTCTATTAAAGTTCGTAGACCTTGTTGTGGTTGAGCTGAGCTGAGGTATGCAAAGAATGGTGAAGCCAAAAGGCCATTGGGCCATGCTCAAACAACAATTCTTCTAGCTTTCAAGCCTTGTCCCTGACGATGGCGCCCACTCAGGTGAGGCCTAGTGGCTTGTCCTGAGCCGAGACATCGGCCTTCAGCAAAGCCAACAGCTCAACCTTCGGATCAGTCGACTTCGACCCTTCTGTGCAATGGTTTCAAAGTGTGGATCCCAATGGGTATTCCCTATGGATCCACTGCCACCCTCTGAGAGGGTGAGGATCTCGAGACACTTTTGATCTGGAGGGTCCACGTATATACCTGCTGAGAAGGCATATAGACTTGAATGGATCTTGGTGTTCTTTGTTCACATAGACCTCACCTCATCAAAGTTCATTAATCGTATTTTTTTAAACGTCTTTGGAAACTGGATCTCAGAGCCCGGGCTCCCTGGAGTGCGCAAAACATATTGAAAACGCAAATTCGGTCATCGTGGTTTCATACATGAGGTTTTTGCCCAGCTGCTTACCGATCCTTACAGTACTGAAGAATCTCAATGCATCCCAACGCACGTGTGAGGACCGTGGTGGGAGGGATTTCAGGTGGAACCCACCATGTTCTGCCATACGCTCTCTTGAGCGGTCATCCGCGCTGGCCCATCCGTTTTGCAACCATTGGCTGAATACATGTCGATGAGGGAGAATATTGGAGATACTTTTACAAGTACCATCTGAGAACGCATGGTGGATCTTCAAGGGATCGAATGGCTCAACCCCTGCTTTTGCTGATACAGTTGAGCACTTCAAGAACATCCGGTACAGTTGGCTCAATCCTAAAAAAGCAACCCAATACCCCAACTGGATCACCTTTAGAAACTTATCCGACTGGATTTTCCCTCGGAAACTACTTTGGATTTCCAGAAAAGGACCCGCGGTTTGGCGGTTCAGCGTGCATCAAATGTTTGATCGGATTCCTTAAAAAAGTTTAGTTTCAAGGCCTTAGTAAAGGCCTTTACCCGCTTTGCCCCCCCAAAAAAAGAAAAAACAACAAAATCGTGATCTCATAGGAACAAGACTAACAACAATTCCTGCCTTCTGTCAGAACCATCACACCCCCATCCTTTAATCAGGGAACCATCCGAGCATCGCCACGAAGCCTGGAGAACACGGCACCAACTTGGAGAAATTGGGGGAACAAAAAGGGCATGCCAACCACTCCACAAAACCCAATCACTCCTCAGGACTTTGGAGTCCATAAGAGCTAACAGTTCGAAAATTGGTGATAACTGTTTACTGACTGCTACAGGTAATAGAACAAACCTAAGGCACACCAATCACACAATGCGTCTGATGGGGGTCTATCAAACAGGCTTGGCCCTAGGCGTTACATGGATGTTTTGTCTTATGGGATCTTATATTATTATGGGTAGTAAATGGTAGCAATGGTATGCAATGGTGTTTTCAATGCTGCAATGCTTGCCCGTCCCTAAAAGCTATGCTAGATCTCTTGCTTTGACAGTAGGGACACCTAATGATAAGAAATCGTAATCAATGAACAAAGACACACAAAAAAAACAACTGGGTCATACTGGTTGCTCGCAAGGAAGGCACTGCCTGCTCCGGTCGATGGACAGCCAATGGACAGCTCGCACCAAGGAAGGCACAACTCCCATTTGCGAGGGAAGGTGGCCGAAATCCCACACAGGTCGGTGCTGAGATACTCTGAGAATTCGCCACACAGGTCGGTGTTGCCTTGTGCGACCAGTGTCCTGCCGACCGTCAGCTCCAACAAGGTCATAAGGATTCCTGTGATGTGCAAGTCAGTGCGACCATGTCTGGAAGAAAACAGCCAGAAACCTCGTTGCATCGATGTCTGTCCAGTTCTCTTCTTCGGAGCTGGGGTACACATGCTGATCAGCTCAATCTGCCACTTGTCGCCAAGTATCTCTTAATTCTAATGTCCGAATGTCCTCGACATCATCGGCACAGAACTTCATCAAATCCCGACAACATTATGACAACATGGCCTTTTGGTACCTTTTGGATGTCATTGAACAAGCGATCCGACCAAGCGCGCTGAGAAAGGCGAATGTCTTTTCGTTGCGCTACTAGGGGCGAACGTTAAGGTGGTTCGGAACGAGAGGCACTGAAGTGGCTCTCCGCTGCAGTGGAAGCTGATGTTTTCTTGTCTCACCATCATCATCAACCTCCAGCTGCTCATCAGTCTGCCAGGTCAATCATCAAAGTCCGCCCCTCAATCCACAGCAATCACACAAACGTCTTAGACAACAGCGCAGGCATCCAAGACACATCGCTGCAATGGGGGGGGTTCTGCCCACCAGATTGGTCTTGTCCCCTGGCCGATGGGTGCCACGTGCCACCACCCATTCTGATCTTGCACCCAGCCATCGCGCTGCCAAGCTTCCTCTTCATCTTGGCATCGTTCTGCATTGTACCAATTCAGCTCCTGCTCATGGAGGTCGACCATAGTCATGTTGTCTACCACACGTTGTTAGAGGAACAATTGTGGAGCTTCAGTTGTTGATGCAGAAGGCACATCATCAGTCAATGGAGCCATTTCCACTGTCCAAGTCCGAACATCATCATACTCTCAGTCTCTCTCTCTCTCTATACAGTAAGGGTGTTGTCGAGACCATAATCTATGGAATAATATATGCCTGCATTAGGGTGGTTTCAGGGGTCAATGTATAATGGGATCAATGTATAATATTGTATAATCATATACGATCATGTTTGGGTCTTGGTATCTACTTCGTCCATTGCACCGTGTCAGATTTTTCCCGCGTGCACCAGGCCCCCCCGACGCTGCATGGTGCAAGGCCGTAAGACCAGCATAGTCGCCTCGAGTGTATCCAAGTCCGGGGTTCGTTGCTCTTTCGCGCATCGTGGGGTTCAGCCTTATCATCCCTAGGGCTCCAACCATGAGGGCTTAGGTGGTTGAGGGCTGGACGAGCAGGGGCGTCCTACAAGAACGAAACTGGCTGTGTTCTCGGTGTTCTCCCCTGAGTCCTTTTGAGTCGTTTCATGATTCTTGTGATGCGTCTTACATAGAGGGGGCTTTTACATAGAGGGCTGAAAAAACATCATGCCGATTCATGCCTTGTGCCTTTTACATGCGAGTTGTCGAAGGAGAGCAATCCTTCGCTCTTCATCTGTGCATGGGGCGGCATACTGCAATCAAAATTGGTCTGTGTATGTCTGTGTCCAGGTGCATCAGGCAAAAATTGGCCTGAGGTGCTGGCCGTATACCCAGACACTTCATGTCTGTCATGGCGGCCCCATTGACCCTTCAAACAAACCACCCCAATGTAAATATACCTAATGTAAATATACCAGTCCCATGGAGTGTCTGGGTTAAGACAGTCACTTCAAGGATCTTCAAGGTGTCTAGGCAAACTTTGTTGACATCCAAACAGGCCATTTTGTGCTGCAAGGCAGAGATGCTTGCGGGGTCCAATTGTAATTGGATGGCACCAGTATGGCACCTAAGTCGAAGCTCCTCCCTGGGGAGTCCTCATCAAATTTACCCACGGACGACATGCTTCGTAGGCTCGTCGATCTTCTGCCCAGCTTTCTGCCTTCTCGTCGTTGAGGTATTCTTGGGTGTGTATGGAAACCAACACCCTTTGGCACACTTATTGGTTGAGGCTCCCCACCAAAATTCAAACCTTCTTCATCCCGCTTCAACTTGTTCTGAGTTTTGGGCTCCTCCTTTGCTCTCCGGCGAAGCTGCTAAACGTGGGAACCGGGGGTACGGTCTCTTGACTCCTTGACTCCTGGGGCGGCAACACGAGGCCCCGGGAGAATAAGGGGGTTCTCACTGGATCGGCACTTCCAAACGCCGAGCATGTTATTACACCTCCTCTCCTCTATTGATTTGTCATGCAGCAATGGAGGAACGGCGCCAGTTGCGAACCCACTCACGTGAGCTCCTGGCCTGGCAGAAGACATCACCACATCACCGACACCGCGTCGTCGGTTCCCCCGCGAGTCTCCCAGTTCTCCCGAAAGACGGTTGGACGCATCCGTAGAGCACATGCTGAGTTCTCCGTTGGTTTTACCTTTTGGGGAAATCAATTTGCAGTGTTTCTTCCAACCGGAGCTAGGGGTTGAAGGTCCCTTATAGGTATCCCAGTGGATCCAGTTACCTCTATTAGCAAATAACCAATGGTTCCAAAGACTTAAAACAGTAGACCCGAAAACCGTGGTTCCTTATTATATTTATTTACTTATATGCTTATATAATAGGCAACTGGGATCAACTGGGTATAGTTTGAGCATGCGCGTGAACGAGGTTCAATTCCCCTCAGAAAAGTGCATCGCTCTCATTCCACCCTTCTGAGGACTCCTGCTGCTGCTTAAATCGGCACGAGCGGACAAAGCACTGCGCACCTGCAGTGGGAGCATCTCTGCAAACGACAAGACCAACAGGAGACACCCCGGCCCAAATGGGTAGACTGGTTGATTGACATTCCTCAGCCTCCACAGGGTCGAAACTGGTCTTGTGAGATACCCTGTCTTGCTGGCGACGGATGCTGAACCTCCATGTCTTGACATGATGAGCTCCCTCCTCTCCGTTCGCCTCTGCCATCAAGAGATTCACATGTCAATCTTAGTTGGACCCTCCATGTTCACAGAAACGAAGCATGCCCATCACCTTTTCCAGGAAATCTGTGGTTCCATACATGGTCTGGACATCGTTGGACTCTCAAGGGCCAGCCCCAGGGCCACCGCCACGTCGGCACCCCACAGAAATCCACCTCATCGAGCGAATCGATCTTCGACGGCTCTACCCAATCCCGAGCGGTTCAGTCTGGCCACAGCGAGCGGTTCTCATCCCCGGAACCTCGCCTGGTCCAAATCGCCTGATCCTCAGACCGCGAACCAAAACAATCCCCGCGAGCGCCGGTTCCAGGAAGGGTCCACCCACCCTGGGTGTCGGCCAGCTGGCCAGCCATGGGCATCGGTTCCAAGTCATTCAAACACGTCCTGGACGTCCAAAGCTGAAGTTGCCGAAGCCGGCAGCCGAGAGTTCTGAGCCCAATGGCGGGAACATCGGAGGGTTCCATGTAACTTTAGGCCATGAATGTGCTTTGGAAAGTTGATCAACCCTAGAGCTCCACCTACCTCCGTTTCGGTTCGGTGGTTGAGGTGGGTGGTCTTGGGGGTCTGTCCCTACCTTGTGAGGTGGGCCAGGAGCTTTCACACAACACCAAAAATTCCAGACCTGACCGAACCTTGACGTTGCATGTGTTACTGGCATCTACAGAGCGGAGTTGAGTATATAACCTCTCTGATCAGTCTGCGGGGCCTCAGAATGCCGTCGGGAGAGTAAGCCCCAAAAAGATACCCCCAAACAACCTGATAGTTAGGTTCTGTTCCAGTAAGGTTTGATTCCAGGCAGTATTGAAATATACTCCACACCAAACCAATCACATTCACAGTCACTCCACAGATCAGGCCCAGGCACGTGCTGCTTGATGAAGGCGCATGCTCTCTGTGTGCATCTCATGGGTCCACACCTAGACACACAGAGTGCCCCGTGCCCGAGCGCAAACCGAGATCCCCAGGGAGATCAAGACTACCCAGACTTGGTTAAAGGGAAGACTCTACAGGAAATTCATAGCTGTTCACAGTTTTTCGCCCAAACTATGGATGTCCTGTAGAGTTTTCCCTTTAACCAAGCCTGGGATGAAAAGAAATTACCCAGCAAGTCCAAGCGATGGAAATCGGTACTCAAATGACTTGCAGGTACATATCATGGTGATTCATGGTGCATCTGCTTTCTTCTCACCACTCAAACACGACCTGTCTGGGACTGCCGCCGATCAGTTGGGATGGTGTGGGGCGTCATATTCTATTCCCATGGTGTGTCTGGGCCAGTGAATACCCTCCTCGGGATCCACTGCCACCTTCTCAGGTACAAGGTGTCGAACACATCCCCCTCGATCGGATTCTGTTTAATCCATAGGGACATAGGGATAGCAATGAAATGCAGTGAGCAACAATTTGGCCCAGGTGTGTGATTGGGCAATACCTATGAAATGGAACCCCAGCTCTCTTGTAGCTTGCATCCGTCTCCTACACACAGTCAAGAATCCGCTATACTTCCATCCCAAAAGCTCATTGGACCCTCACAGTTAGGGTTTTGACCCTCACAACTACATAGGTGGTTTTGGACCTAAAACATAGCAGTTTGAGGGTCCAAGAGCCTCTGGGATTAAAGCATCTTCCCCATGCCATGAAAAATGACCACCCCGGAAACGGGAAGAACAAAGATGTGCCTGCCAAAACTGGGTACTGTAAATCTGTAAACAAGAACATCAGGTCTGTTTCCGCAACTGGGGTTAACTGGTGACGGAATTGAAATTCACTTCGTATCATTCCTTCGTATCATTCTATCCATTCCTCTCTTCCTCTCACCCTTCCTCCCTGTCCACCCCCCCAGAAAGCCAAGGAACGCTCGTGCAGAAGTGCCGCGCGATGATCTTGGGAGATCGAAAGCCCGGCGACCGCATCGCCTGGGTGTTGATCGTGGGGGTCCACGGCGTGGGGGAGGGCCTTTTCAGATCAAACATAGATCAAACGCTTCGGTGACTAGTAGCAAGAAGCTACTAGGGTGGAGGCCATCGTTCTTAGGTGGAGGCCATAGCTACTAGGGTGGAGGCCATTACATGCCATTATATATATGTATATACCTAGAACCAAAACACCACCTCCTGCTTATTTTAGAGGAATAGACCATCTTTTGGGTGGTTGGTGGTCTGAAATGGAGATCACTCACTCGGGCACCGGGTACATGGTATTAAATATGATATGGTATTAATTATATATTATATATATTTACCTGGAATTTCCTCAGAGTGTATTTGTTTTGTTCGATCTGCGGCGTGAAAAGCATCTTTTGGAGTCACAGCCTTCTATGTGAGTCTGCGGATGTTTTTTTCTAGTTTTCTGTGTTTTTTTTTTAATATTCCACAGGCGTTTTATACACAAGCTAAGGGCGTTTATTGGTGAGCCACAGGCATCTTTTTTCCCGAACGGTGTTCTTTTTCAGCGGATGTATATTTTGGTTGCGGATGTTTATGTGGTCCACAGACCTAAATAAAGGTCCTTTGGACTACCGGTTGCAGGCATGGGGAAAAGTAATCCTGTTGATGCACACTCAAGGCATCCCAGTCAATTAGATTTGAACCGATTTGATTCATTTGGTATAGGTTGACTTTACCACTCCTGGAAAGGAGTTGGGTAAGAAATTCGCCTCCAGCTCAGCAAACAGTGCCAGTTTCATTGAACCCTTGTTTCAAAAGCCCCTTCACAACACTTGGTTTCAAGTCCCAACCATTTCGGGCATTTTCTGGCAAAGAGGCAACGACGTTACAACACCATTCAATTCAGCTAAGATGAGCCTAGACTCGTCCGCTGAACCAGGTAAACTGGGCCAGGGTACCTGGTTGAAGAGCTCCGCAGGCAGCACGTGCAGCCACGAGGACGACGTCTTTTCAACCAGTGCGTCCAGCATCTGAGGTCCAGTGAGTTGCCACGTAGTCCTGGAGTGAAAAGGGAGTGATGAATGCCAAGCCCTAAGGATCCAAATACCTTCAAGCAGCATTGTACTGGGCACTTACACCTAACACCGAACCAAAAACAAGGGTAGTTGGACCCTCCAAAGTACCTTCGGATCCACATACCTTCGGATCCGCACGACTGGACCCGACCCGACGGCGCCTTTCCCAGTGTCGTGTCGATCACATCACCCTCTCAGACACTGTGAGAGTTGCACGAAACATGGGGAGAGAGATGTATAGTTGATGGCTCAAAAATAAGGCGTGTGTTTCAGCTTACAGTCTAGTGTCTGTACAGGTGGCAAACTGGATGCATTATGTCATCTTATCTGCTTGAACACATCTAGACATGTTTGGATGGACTGCAACTTCACAAAACAACGGCTTGGGGTGTGCAGTTGTCCCAGCTTGGGTCGGAGATACATTAAGTATGGGTCGAAGTCTTGATGATTAGATAAATAAATAGAAAAAAATAGAGATAGAGAGAAGTAGGTAGATAGATAGATAGATCGATAGATAGATAGGATAGATATAGATATAGATACATATATAGATAACACATAGAGATGTATATATATAGAGATATAGAGAGATTCAATTCGATTCGATTAAATAGACAAACATAAAGATAGGTAGATAGATAGATAGATAAATAGATTAATAAATAGATACAACCGTCCTGGAGTATAATATATACATCTAAACCAATCCAAAAACACGAATGATAGAATTAATGACTTTACAAGAAACTTAAATGATCACTTTAAACAACATAGAACACTATATGCTGAAGAAAAAAAAATGTAGCAAACAAGGAGAAGATAGAAGACCGCAGGGGCTTATGGAATGCCTATTCATCACCAAGTGGATTTTACAAAACCAAGTGGTCGTGATGGATCTTTAACAAGGGATATTATGGATGATCTGTTATTAGTACCTACTAGAAATGTTCATCACAGTGAGAAATACAAACATGTTATAGAAGAATTGGAAAAGTCACCAGAAATAACCCGTTTGGTTGGACATAGCCTTGCAAGTGCTGTAATAAGATCAATCAAGAACAACCTAATAGATTTGCTACAACAACCTATGCTACCCCTACAACTTTGTTGTAATTTTGGAAAATTGGAATTTTGGAAATTGCCTTTGGGGGAGGGGGGGTTGAGGCAGAATAGGATTCTTTCAGTGGCACAAAAATCAATAGAAACACAATACAAATATAAAAACAAAATACAAACAAAATGAAACCATGCAAAAACGCGCCGCTCAGAGCGCTCCTTTCTGTATTGTTTTTGGAGTTTTCATATTCTATCTACTCCAGGATGACTCTCTCTCCCTCTTCTATTATACGTGGTTCTATATTGAAACTATGTATATAGCCCACTTGTTGATGACAGGCCGTGTCTTTGCATAATAAGTTGTTTCCTGATAATTCCGGAACACGGACAGGAATTAGCTTGTGTTTGCTCACACCGCTGGTACAAATTGGTACGGCAAGAATATGCACCTCACATACGGGTTTTCGGTTTTCCAGAGTTCGTATATGATCAACAGCCACAAAATCTATCAAAAAGAGTCAGTTAACGTAGTTGATTGAGCTTATTGATGAATAATACCCCCCCAAACAGAATGTTTTTACATCTCCATATGTTTCTTTCAAATCCACCCTCAACAACATGTCCATTGCCCCTTGCAGCTTGCTCTTTTTTGCTGTCATTTGCTGTCTTTTCGGCCGACACGGCCGGCGGCGGCGTCCACCCGCGTATCGAATGCGAACGTGGCTGGGTGCTGTGCCTGTAGGCGCTTCGATTCTGAAAGCGTCGGCGAGCTTCTTGTACAAAGGCCAGCCAAAATGGATGCCTGCGACCGGGAGACGAACATCACCAAGTGACAAACATGGACACCACGTGACATGGGCCATGGGCAGAAAAAGACACGCAAAAAAAAAGCGGTGAAGGAGCAAATCCACCGCGAGAAAAAAGCGAGTAGTGTGCCCGGCACTTGGGAATGAGGCCGAAATATGCAAACCGGATCGAACGATCCCTCTCCCCAATCGATCGCGGGAGAGCGCTGGATGACGACTCGTTCGTTCTCGTTCGTTCTCGTTCCCCTCAACTGATCGGTCCGGTGATGTGTGCGGCATGTCCAGTGCTCTTTTTAGACATGCTGTTGAAGAAAGACTTGGATTTGCACAAGGAACCTGGGACGGGACAAGTCAAGACACAACAGTAACTCCCCCCCCCGCAGCTGTGCGGGCGATCAATACACAAGTGGAATCAAGAAAAACAAACCCTCAGCAAAACCACGAGACCTTCACCGAACTGTTTCTCTCCATCTCCGAACCGTTGAGCCTTGGTGCTGAGGCCATCAGTGAGTTCTGATGCCGCTCGCTCTCCACATAAGGAGAAGCCACCAGGCTCACCCGCCCAGCGGGCAGGTGGGGGAAGGGGTCCTAGCGCAGCGTGTGTCGCACTGATCTATGGAGGGTGAACGATACAAGATCAAGTCCTGCAACAAAAGAAATAGATCAAAGCAAAGCGGCAGGTTCAAGTGACGTTCACAACCATCTCTGACTGAGACACGCATGCTTTGTCACAAATTCAAGCTGCAAAAAGAACATAACAATATGTAACATATGTGGACTGACAATCTGACTGGCGCACGCCGCGCCGCTGAGACAGGAGCAAGTAAGGTGTAGATTTAAGTCAAATACTCTGAGAGCTTTTGTGGAGGACGCAGCTTCGACCCGGTCCTGGAAGAGTTCTATGTCCATGTCCGCGTAGAGACCTGCACAAACATCGCTGACAGCGGCGACGCTCACCCGGACGAAGAGCGCGCAGTTCTAAAGCCCCCCTGTAAGGCCTAAGGTCTAAAGTAGACTCTTAAACCCATATCAAGATGGTTTACCATCCAAGTGGCAGGGTTCTTAATCAAGAGTCTACATTAGTAGGGCTTCAACTTCAACGACAATATGTTGTCACTGAAGCTAAGCACATCCTTGTTTATGGTGTGCACGTCAACAGCAGGGCTGAGACTTTGTGAAGGGAAACACTCCATGGGACTGGACTAGGCATGCCTCTACGACCCTATTGAACCACCCCCAATACGTGAATATGCCAGTTCCAGGATTCCATGGAGCATCCGGGGCCAGAATCTGGGGTGAGTTCCATGAAGAATCTGGAGTCAGGTATATATGGGTAGGTCCGGGTAGGTCCATGCAGAAGTTACAGTAGGGCCGGTTCCATGGGTGATTCTGGGGAACATCAACCTAAAAATTGCAAAATCAGCTTGCTGAAGCTTGAGGTCCTGAGGCACCTGTCCAATTTTCTCACCCAACAAATGAATCATCCGCCACGAGTAGATAGAATATAAAGCAATCCACAAACATGATCTGGTTCCTATTGTGTGTTGAAGCTTCCCATATTCTATCCACTCCGGGATGACTATAGCTATAGATAGAACTGTGAACATATAGGATTCTTTATAGGTAGAAGATCTGGGCACCGCCCATGAACTTTGCAGAAATATGAGCAGTTCGTCTTGGTGATTGACCAACCACAACGCGGAAACCTCACACTGCCACTGCCGGACATCTCTGCGGATCGCATCCTCCTTCACGCGAGGTACGCGAGGTAGGTAGAGCCTCCATGCAGGTAGAGCATGGCGGCCCGTGCAAAATCCACTCGTTGGATGTGTTCTTCATACTGGTCATAAACATCCAGCTCCTCAGGAAACGCTTCTCGCCTGGGCTTCGGACGGGCTGCTTCAACAGGTGCATGTTTTCTTTAATGGGAGTCATATGAACAGAAATCAAGCACACGGCTGCTTCCAATTGGTGTAGATAGTTGATTGATCAGGGCTTCTCAGATTGCTCTACAAATCTAACAGAATATGACAATATATCAGGTGTTCTTTCGAACGTCACCGTTGAGGGTGTCTGCATTCAAAGTTGGCAAACATCGACATGCTACCAGCCTTTCCTACATCGTTTTTGCTGTATCGTTGACAGCAGGTACCCTTGCAGAGTTTGCAAGACTCGACTCCCATTCGGAAACCCTTAAAGCCTAGTTAAGGACATTCCGAAGGGGAGCGTCCCTCACGTCATGGCGCCATTCATTCGCCAGACCGTTCTTTAGAAAGTACAAACCTCACCGGAAAACCATCCTCAGGTTGCATGGACTCGGATACACCGTATGAGTTCCATGGAGTACACCAGGAGTTCCACGGCGCACCCAGCCACGATGAAGCCATGTAACGCACAGTCTTGGAATCTTGGATGAAGTGTCCGTGTAACCAAGTAAATGACAATTGTTTATAAACAACATCATGTAGAGGAGGAAAAGTCATGTAGAGGAGACCTACCCACTAATAATACAAGTTCTTTTGATACATTGTCATTGCCAGCAAGGCCAGCTCAAAAAGCTGTGTTATAATCATCCATTGGCAGGTTCCAGCTACCTATTGAGTGCGCTTTGTGCGAGATCCAGCTGCCACATGTAGACGCCTGTTCTTCCCTGAGTTTGACAGGATGAAATTGTTCTGCTGAGGGGCTTTTGTGCTTCAAAGAAGATGTGAATCACACACACAAAAAATACACAACTGTCCTAAAATCCTCTTGGGGCCTTGGGGGTGATGTCATCTACTCAGGTCATCCGCTGCACAGTCATCCCTCAATATGGGCGGACTGCCCGATCTGCTCAGGTCATCTTCGGAATCGCACCAGGTCACACGAGCTCTCTCAAGGCATCGTCATCCCACAAGATGTAGCGACAGCTGGCGCACACGCGCATCCTGATGGAGCAGTGATGACTATCCTCTGGAGAAAAGGTGCTTGGCGAAGCAGGTTTCCCCGAATCTTCTCTGTCATCTTCCTACGGCAAATGCACCCCCCTTAAACACCCCAGTGATATAACAGCTATACAGTAGATTTCACCACATTCCACCAATGGACCTGAAATGAATACTTTTGCGAGCCCATTGAAAAGCATCTCGTAGAAACGTAATACGACGTATCCGTCGTAGATGTCATGAACCTTGAATTGTCCAAGGGGACCATCTGCAGGTCAAAAGGTCTCTCATGCATGAGACCCGCATCCCAAGATTCCAAGATCCAAGAAAAAACTTTGGGCACCATGGGTCCTAATCATTATGGCTCCGAATTTCCTTGATCACAGTGTCAAAACATCCATCGCACCTCCTCCAGACTGAGAGTGCCCGTCGAGGCTCCATGTCTTCTGACAATGCTCCCAGCGAGGGTCCCATCCTCAGCGGATAGTGGATGACCCTGAAATCCTCATACCAAACAGGTGGTGAACTCCCGTTCCACAATTCTTTCAAGGAGTGTCACACTCATGCGTGTCTTCGAGATCTTTGAGGTGCTTTGAACTACATGGGGCCTGTGCATGCACTGGTCCGGTAGGGGGGAGCCGAGTCAATGAAACGGTCTGTGTATATATACCCGAGGGATCCACATACCCTCTGAGAAGGTGATTGGAGGTACTGTCGTGTAGCTTTGGAGGGTCCAGTCGTACCTTCTGAGAAGGTACTTGGATCCCTAGGGATATACATATATATATAAGTGATAATCCCACTATCACTCAGGGACACTCCACTAGGACCCCAAGATGTGTCAATAATAGTCACAATGGTGCTACCCTTCCAACCCTGTCACCGTGAGGAACTGCAGGTGCTACTCTTGTCACGCTACTGTATGTGCTGGAACCACTCGGGTGGAAACCACTCGTTGTCTAAACACAGAGCTTGTCTAGAAAAGGGCCTCTCTATAAGCCATAGCTATCCTACCATATTACCATATGATCATTGGCCTTGATCATGTGTTTTTTCTCCGTCTATCCCCCATTCATCGTGCTTTGACTATGTGCACTGCGTGCGGAGCCGAACTGGGACCATGACCGCAGAGTTGGACGGTGCATTCCAACCACACGGATTCCTATGGCACGAACGGACAAACGTACGAAATAAACACCACTCCACACACGGTCGTTGAGGGAAATATAAAGCCTAAGATGATACCACAAATGAAAGGGTTATCAGGGTGATCCATCTATGCTGCAGGGATATCCAGCTCGATGTTCCTTCCTTTGGCCGTTTCCACTCCGCCAGCCATGGGACAAACCCGGCCGCTCCGGTGACCATCACTTGGATTTGCTGTCCAGGAACCTGGGACAGCATATCAGTTAATTCCCCATGAGGAGATTTACCCATAGGGCAAACACAAAATACACAGTTAAGCAAGAAAAGGCAGTGCAAAATGGACTTGGGTGCTGATTGAAGGGTATAGAGTGGGGCGCTGATTCCCTGTCACATCCACGAGCCCTGGATGGGACGAACCAAACCACCCCGAGGATGGAACTCCTGGCATGGGTCTTCTTTCATGCCGAAGGAAAAACATGACAAAGTGTTGTGATTTGTTCAAGTTTTCTTGTTGAAGACTTCTGGTTCGATCATACATTAACTTTTAAGGTCTAATTTCAACATAGCAGCATTAGCCTCTTGGCACTTCGACTAGGCCGCATTGCCGTGAACTGGACCAATTGTGTGTTTCGTTTGGTCCAACTACTGCCATCATATGCCTACATCAACCCCTTTTTCAATCACCCCTTATGTGGGCACACAGTGAACAACTCAACTGGCCCGTAATCCTTTTTGTTGGTTTTGCATGTAAATCCACATGTTTCACTACTAAAATACTAGTGGGAAACACAAATATACGATACACCGAGTCTTTGGGATGTGCCCATCCCACCAGGCTTCGCGAGCGCTCAGTGGGCGCAGTCTGGTGCACCAGACGAGGGATGGCATGCCCATCCGGGGACTCTGCGCTGCTCGCCATGAGACCGGGGCCATCGGATAAAATTAGTCATTGACCTAATTAATATAAACATAAGTCTTATTGGAAATATCATATCTATACATAAGCTACATAAGGTATCATATATAGGGATGGGTGGATTTGGGATCGGATTTTGGAACGGCTAGCAGTTCGAATGGAGTATAGGGTTGCGTATATATACAAACAAAACATCCACTCACTTGGAGACAATTAGCAGCCCTTTGTAACTCCTGGTGTTGATGCTTTTGTTGAACTCGTACTCCTAAAACTTGTATATAAACAATTCTAAACTTATAGCTCAAATCACTGATCTTGTCAACCTCTGACACTTTGCTTAGCTTGTTTCAGCCTGTATTTCAACAGTGGCAGTAGTGGATCTTGCCCAGAATGTTGCCTTGTATAGATTCAACATGTCAGAGCCTTAAGGTTTCACCGTTCACCTGCAAATGCAAACCTACGCGTCTCAGAAACAACCCACACCATTAAAAAAGAGTCATGAAGCCAGCTGAAGGCAGTGCTCACGACATGCAATTCCACGCGGAAAAGCGGCACCAGTTTGGTGGGAACTCTACTTGTGTCCTTTGGAAAACCACTGGAACAAAATGGATCCATCTCCCAAAGAAGGTGATTGGTGATAGCGGGGATGCTTTGGGTGGATTTGTAGGGCCCATTTACGCACTATATAGAAGGGATGTTTCTTGCCCTTGACCATTCCCACAGGTTTATTGTATGGGAAAATCAGGAAAACACAGTCGATAGCAAATTGCATCAGTATTGTCTCGCAGGCTATGAACTATCCCACAGGAGAGACCCTCCGTGTGTTTCATCCTGAGACCTCCTTCCTGCCACCGGAGGGGTCCATGGCATGCCTGGTCCCTGTCGAAGGTGATCCTGAAGACCAGACAGATCGAAGGAACGCCCGAACCACATCGCCATCGCCCAAACCGATCGAACGCCTGAGATAGAAGACCTTGTTTTGGGAGGCCGAGAACAGTGGAGCCTTTTGGATCCCTTTGCGGATGCAAGCGGAAGAAACCGCTTCAAAACAAGATTCCGAAGGCTTGACTGAAGATTTCTTGTAAAATACACATATTAAAAACCTCTGGCAAACCAACCCGCCCTCGCTTCTTGACACCCTTCATATCCCTTCACACCTTTTCTTCGCGTCAACGGGCCGTGCTTTGGGCCACTTCCAGGTCGAGCTCCAGGTCCACCTGTCCATGTGAGTGACATGGAAGAACGGCATGCTCCGTTGGACCGACTGAACAATTTCCTACATTGACCCCAGGTCAACCACCCCAACTGATGGACTGATGGGCAAATATGCCAGTGTCATGGAGTGTCTGGGTGATGCACTGTGGGCTTGAAGAGAATACCAAGCAACTCATGAGAGGAACTCGTCATTTGGTGCTTTGTGAACTGTTCTATAGCTTTTTGTAAACTTAAGTCTTCTGATCCACCGTTTTCACCGACTCCCTCAGTTTCCCTGGACAATCATTCAATAATGGTTATAACTGTTCCCACCTGCTCCATCTGTCAACTGGGGAAAGGACAATCCTGTCAGGTGATCCACTGCCATCCTGGTTAGGTGATGTTACGGACTTAAACATCGGACCCATCCCCACCTGCATCGTCTGCCCGGAGCGGCACGAAGAGCTTCGTGCCGCTCCGGTTGCGGTCAATGTGTCTTCTGCTCCGTGGCACCTGCGGCATCTGGTCAATGTGTCTTCTCCCCTCCCTGGGGTGTGATTCTTTCTGAAGGGGGTTGGGTGTTTGTGCCCTGGTTTCTGTTACAGTCTATCAGTGATAATTAGTTCTGAATGGTTCTACAGTTCTTTAATGTTTTTTGGGTTTCTTGGCCTGTAGCTGGAAAAAGGATGAAAAAGGGTATTCGAGGGTAGTGCTTGAGCCTTGAGCTTGAAGGCTTTGGCTTGAAACCCAGAATATCTTTGATCCAATGCCCCTCTCTCATTCTCGAAATGGAAACAAGCGCGAGGAAACCTACACAGGAGATGCTTTTCTGATCTTTCCTGCTGTGAATGTTGAGTGCCAACGATGCAACTTGCACTGCGGTTGGGTGACCTTGTGCCGGCCGCCTGTGCTGTTTCGATCCCTGGAGAAAAGAACTCCTCCCAGAAAGGTCGTATGCTGGTGACCTGCAACTTATACCTATCCCTTAAAGCCCAGACATGCCCCCTGCTTTGACACGGAAAAACAATGAACAACGCACACACACACAAAAACACATATTTTTGGTGGTTGGTGATCCAACATAAAGGTCACTCATGCTGGTTCTAGGTATGTATCCACTTTGATGATGGACGAGTTGTTTTGGGGTCCAGTCATATCGAACCTAAGAAGGCGCCCGTGGAATGTCTCTAAACCGAAGGCAAATTGCTTGCCAATTCAGGCTGGTGGCTTTCCATGAATGAGCCTTGCACAGTGATTCCCTCCCAGACCAGATTCTTGCCTGTGGAGATGTCGCCTGACCAGTGCGGCATTGTCCAATTTGTCAGGAGGCACGACAAACTTGAGCCATGTTTTTGTAGGTTGAAACTAGGTTTACTTATAACCAAACACTCCATGTGAGGCATATTTGCCAACATTGGGGTTGTTCCTGGGGTCAGGTAAGCACAGTAAAAATTCAACACATGGAGCGTCTGGGACATATAAAAAATAACTTTTCCTAGCCTTCCTGAGCCACAGAAAGCATCCGGAAACTTTGCTTTCAATATGTTCAAACACGCGCATGTTATACTCATGTTCTTACTCCAACATGTCAATGTACTGTCAATGTACTGCTGCGTTACTACGCTGACAATATCAGATCCGTTTGTTACCTACTGAAGATCTACAGTGAGGTTGGATTTGATATTGACCATATTTGTCAACAACATACTTTGGGATTGATAAGTATCACGAGCAAAATATCACCGTACTCACCAGAATCAGCTGGGCGTTCAATACATCTTCGTTTCAAGATGCTTTACACCCCAACCAATGGAATGTGAGTGTAGGTTCCAGATCAGCAGCAATTCAGCTCATCGGCCGGTTGTAAGGGGCGGAAACCACTCTAAAGCCACATAGGCCGTCATAGACCAGTGGATCCTTCAGTTCATAGACCAGTAGAACAGTGGACACATGCCGTCATAGACAGCCGGGATAAGATATGAACAAACATCCAAGTGGCTTGGCCTGGCTGTCTTCCAGCTCATAGGTCTGTCCTATTGATAGTAACAGTGGATGATGGTTAGAAAAGGCCTCGTTCCAAAAGTAGTGATAATTGATTAAATTGTAATTGTTTACTGTAGGACAGACCCAACTCATACCAGTATCTGCTTCTGCTTGCTCAAGTCTACGAGCTAAACCAATGGCTCAACCACCTTCCACCCAGTTCTTTCCGTGATGAACACCACCCCCATCTGGTCTGGTCGATACCCCCCGGTCTGGTCACGTCTGATGAGTCTTGTTGGATCTCGATTAGTAAAGGCTCCCTCAGTAGGGGGGGGCCCCCTTTACTAATCAGGATCCAACATACTGATTTACCCTGAAATATCACCAAAACCATCCACACTGGGAGCTGCTCACGAGAAATTCTGACCATTTCTGACCGCAAACCTTCCGGCCCGCAAACCCGCACCTGGTGCGTTGGCGGCGGCTTCCTGGTAGAAGGCAGCGATGTCCGCAGCGAAAGCCTCGCGGACTGAGGGGGTGGACTGGACTGCAGGTTGACGTAGACGAGTCCAAATCCATTTCGTTCAACATACCCGAACACTCCATGTATGCCATATATGCCCTACATTGGGGTCGTTTGGGGGGTCAATGTAGGCATATATGGCATACATGGAGTGTTTGGGATAAACATGACATAACATGTCTGTGTGGTCGAGGGTCTTCGCCCTCGAAATAGCCATGACCGCCATGACAGTTTCCTCCCAAGACAGTTTGGTGCATTTGTGGTGCTCCAATCCAAGCCCCTCAGAGGCCCTCCGACTCTGTGTCTGGAAATGTCTGGAAAGATTGAAAGACTTCAAGTCAAAAAGGTGGCATCCATCGAAGGTCCAGAAGCATCTGGGTAGTATATTATATCATATGATATATATATATATATATACAGTACAATATTATTAGTCCACTTATTATCAGGGACCACCTTCTGAGAGGGCGAGGAAAACACCTACTGTGTAGGCGCTAGGAGGCTGGAAAATACCTTCTGAGAAGGTATGGGATTTCTAGGGAGTATATAACAATCCGTTTTCCGTGGCAGGATGTCATCCGTTGCAGAAATGTCAGGCACCCCTGTGGTATAGTGGGCCGGATCCCCCTGTTGTCAGAAAGCACTTGTTCACGGAGTTTTTGGTTAACTGATGAAATACCCTCTATTCGTGTTAACGTATCAACTTGCACGATTTGGCACCTATCATACTGCAATATAATACTGCTCCTTTGTAGTTCTGCCCAAGGTGTTGAGCTTTGTGTGTTACATGTGAACTATCCTCTTGGTTTGGTGGAGCTCGCCCCAAACCCATATGTGGTCCTCGCAGTCTTCCGACGTCTTCCGTCAAGGCATCGTTTGGTCCCACTGAGTTCTTGACGGACCAAGCCAAGTGGATGCACATCAACAAGGCCGCCTGCACACACAACAGGTGAAAGGAGATGAACATGAAACATTCAGCAGATTTTCTGATTATATATACTATACAAAATCTACAATCGCATGCTATTGGCGTGTTTAACCCTCACTGACCTACATCATCCTACATAATTCTATTGACTAGCCACTCCAAAGTTGTCTTTGGGTTCAGTCCATTCATTGGTCATCACTGCCACCGTCGTGCTCTCTGCAAGGCCATGCATGCCATGCACCAATCTTGGATGAGCAGTTGCAAATCTTGGGGTTTACTGAGACTCGGGCAGCGACTAAGAGCAAAACACCCAGTAGGACCGCCTCAGTGAAGGACGCAGTGCCAGCACTCTTTTTTCAAGGTCACCGAGCAGTA